TCCTTTGGTGTTCGCAATACTCTTTTTGCACTCTGTCGTGCAAGAGCCCTTATGGAATTTTTATTTTCTCAGTTGTTTGGAATTTTTATACAAATTATTGAGAATATATACGCTTATTCTCGCATCGATGGCTTTTTTACAAAGACCTGTTGAATTATTGAGAACGAATATGCGCTCATTTCTTAAAGTGGTACAATACATGCAAAATTATCGAGAATTTTGAACGCTTATTCTTAAAAGTGGTACAATACATGCACACTTATCTAGAATTTTAAACAAACGCATTCAAACATTGCATTCTAACTAAAAAATTATATTATTTATTTTTGAAGTTTGGTAAGTATTTCTATTATAATAGTGTCGACTTCGGCCTAGCGCCATTGCCAGTATCACCACATGTTAGAGTCTTTGTTATACTTGGTATTTCGTGGTAGCTCCAAGACTTAAGTTTATTAATTTGGTCCAAAGTAATTGGATGATCATACACTTTGCGGCATGCTAGCCAAATCTAAGAAATGTTTCGCATATTCCGTCAAAATCACTTTCTGAGAAAAGCATAAAAAAATTTATTAGATATTGATATACGCTTCTTGAAAAACTTACATTAAATCTGAAATCCAGATTAGGATCCTGCAATTTCTCTATTAAAACAGGCAATTTTATGGGACGTAGTGACCATTTTGAATTGCTCCCGAAAGATGGTGTACAATTCACAAAGCCAGAAAAACAATTCTTAAGGAGGGCTCTTTAATTGATAGAGCCCCTATAGATGACCCATTTAAAAGCTCAACGGAAACTCAAAGCCTTGGTTCGACAAGTTTTGCCTTTGACGTTTCCTCCAAACCGCAAACCGATAAAAAGATGACTTAAAGAACCTGTTTGTGTACCCACGTAAAACTCATGATTTTCAGTATAATTTGGATTTTTTACATTGCTGGTTGTCCACTTCATTTTAAATGAAAATAATCAGTGACCTGGGATTAACTTTTGTTTTTAAGATATACTAAAAATGTTTTCAATAATCTCTTTTTTTGTCAGTCAGCTGTTCTCCTCCGAGCAAACATTACATCTACACATGGCATTTGACGAGTAGCAATAGAGATCTCAGGGGCCTCTAAATAATTCAATACAATTGATATGAAAATCTCTTGGTTAGAATATACCATACGAATTCAATGGTATGCCAGTTGCTTATTTGTACAAAATCATCTGGATGATTTAGAAACCGGGAAAGCTATCAGCTGGACCACGGTAAGACAATTTAAATTATATTTTGCATTGTAGAACTAAGATATGAATTTTTATTGAATTTGATGCATTTGAAAAGCGACTAACGTTTGAACGTTTGATGAAAGAACGATAAAACGTAGTATGTGCACACATTAAATCTTCGTTCTAATGACTACACGGTAACTCCCTTCTCGGTGATTTCTCAAAGGTAACTGATTATATATAAAATTATATATAGCTTTTGAATTGAATTGTTATGCGCTCAAGGTTTTTAAATGTTTATTGTTTTTACTGTAATAGAAAATCAAAGTCAGGAGGCAAAGGAATCGGAATCAAAAAGTGCGTATGTTAATTAATAGATTGTTTGTTTTAATTGTTTAATTGTTTCAATAAAATAAGATTTAAATTGAATATGAACGCTCTTTTGCTCTTTTAAACTAGAGTCGTCTAGTGGTGGCAGCGAGACTCGTGAAGATAGAGTTGCTCGTATGGTTAAAGAAATGTAATCAAAGACTCCAATGCCATATGATACCTTTGAAGTGAAAGAGTAGTGGAGTACGTGGGATCTCTCAGCTCGATGAATATGTTTCTCAGCCAAGAAATCGATCGTATGCAGAGTATGTGGGGAACACTTCCTCTTTTAAGAAAGAAGAAAAATTTGGCAACAATTCAATATCTTATATAGATCATTATTTTGGTAAAAGCTACTTTGAAGGTCCTTTCATTGGCAATATAAGGCACTACTATCATGAGCGAGCAGTTGCGAGATGCGCTCGATAATATATTTAACGCGTGCGTACCTGCCATTTGACAGCGAGAAAGCTTGGTGTCCTCGACCCTTGGATTTTGGTTTACTGACTTATTAGAGAGGAATCAACATTTTCATACATGGCGTTTTAATGTACGTTTTATTTATTCTTATGTTTCATAGCCAAATCAAAGTTCCGAGCGTGCTTGTTTCGTAACAGATAGTATATAAGAGGTTTCCTTTTTAACGAGAATGGCAGACGGTCATGTAACCGAATTCGAAAAAAAAAAATTTAATTATAGGCAAGACCCGTCGTTTTCTAGATGTCCGGTTTTGCAATCTTAAGTAACTGTTAAGATTAAGACTTCCAAAAAATACATATTATCTTTGCCATCAACATGTGATAACAAAAATCCAAAACTTCAAAACGCATTTGTTGACCCAACAATCGTTGCGAATTGAGGTGTGGTTACCATTCGTTACATCCATCTCGCAGAGGTCTATTGAGTACGCACACCATCGCATACACTTATACACACTCGTCGTGCAAATATCAGTAAATGTTCTCATTTCAGTTCTTTTACTTTCTTTTACGGTCTTTAATATCGTTTGTTTTTATCAGATACCTTGGGTTAGTATTTAATAATTTCGAAATCTAAATGTCCTATCTTATATACATAGTGTTTTTGCTTTGGAGTAACTTGTACCTACATACAACGCCAAGTAAATAAACAAACAAACTTTTCAACAAAAAACACACATTTAACACATGGCAAAACAACAACAAATACACAAGCCTTGCTATTCACGACAGTTTACAACATACAATGTAACCTGCAGTTTGTTAAATCCTCTCTCTATTTTATATCTCCATAAATCGCGCATATGTTTTTTTTAAAGGCTCTGATGCCTCGGATGATTTTGAAATCTCAAATCTCTTTGCTGTATTCTTCCGACAAAATTTTTCGACTGCTAATTCCGATTTATCAGCAAAATATCCATATCCTATAACTAATTTGGTTTTAATTCCCAATGTGGTTGTTTCTGAAAATGACGTTTTTAAAAGGCTGAGCTCTCTAAAATATAGTTGTGCGCCGCGACCTGATGAAATTCCATCATGTGTATTTACAAGTTGCTCTGTCGAGTTATGTGGCGTTATCTCAGAATTTTTAACCACTCCTTAAATTTTATGTGTTTTCGCTTTGTGTTGGAGGAGTACTTTCCTTATTCCACTTCACAAAAGCGGAAGTAGAAAACGTGTTGAGAACTACAGGGGCATAGTCAAGTTGAATGTCTTGCCTAAGCTAACTAATTCGTATATTTCTCCACACCAGCATGGCTTTCGGAAAGGAAAATCTATGGTCGCCAATTTGTTAGACTTTACTTGTCATGCTTTCAAGGCTTTTTCTAGTTGTTCTCGCACTGCTGTGATATATACTGTTTTAAACAAAGCATTTGATTTGGTTAATCATAAATTACTTATCTTTAAACTCAAAGCCTCTGGCTTCTCCTTCCATTTAATAAAATGGATGAGCCATTTCTGCACAGTAGATCATTTAGGGTTTTGTTTAACTTCATCACCTCGGATGAATTTTCTGTGACGTCTGGCGTACCTCAAGGCAGCCACTTAGGTCCCATTTTATTTAGTTTATACATTAATGATCTCCCATCGGTGATTAATTCCAGCCAGATCTTAATGTATGCTGATGATGTGAAATTGTTCTCTTCTGCCTCCGTAGAATCGAATTCACATCAGCTTCAAACTGGTTTGAATAAGTTGGTTGCAGTAAATGTATGAAGCTTTTTTTCTCAAGCAGGATGGCATTCTTTACTCAGTATTTCATTGATTCGCACAAGTTGGAGGACGTCGATTCGTTCACAGATTTAGGCGTTCCATTTAACCATAGCTTACGTTTTAATCTGCATAAAGCTCTCGTTAAGCAAAGCTAGATCCGCGCTTGGTTTTATAAAGAGGTGGTCCAAAGAGCTTGATGATCCGTACACTACGAAAAGGCAGTACATGTGTTTGGTTAGACCTATACTCGAGTATGCTTCCGTTGTGTGGTCTGTTTCATAGGTGTTTCATATGTAGATTCAATTGAATCTTTCCAAAAGCAATTCTTGCTGTTTGCCCTCAGGAATTTGGGTTGGGACCCGATTGCCTCTCTTCCCCCCTATGAAAATTGGTTGCTTCTATTATCCTTACCGTCATTTGGGAAACGTTGATTTTTTCTTGGGGTTTCCTTTTTAATCAACGCAATAAATGGTACTATTGACTCGCCCGCATTACTTGATGAGATAAGCTTTAATGTCGCTAACCGCTTCTCGAAGCACTTTATCTTGATTAAGCTTAGTCAATGCAAATATAATTAAGATCTGTTTAATCCGCTCAGAGTTGTTTGCAGAAACCTAAATGATATCTATCACTTATTCTCATTATCGGACATTTAAAGTCTTTTAAAGCCAGTTTGCTTAATATGCGTGATTTACCTATGCCTTACTAACATATCATTCTTTATATCTCATTTTTTATTTAAAATAATATTGTGTTGTTAACGTGTTGGTTTCCAAGCTTATGCTTGTTTCCAATGGTTCAGGGGTTCACTTGAAACCTGGATCTGTTCTTGTTGCTGGTGTGCTTCTGTTCTAGCTGTGTACAAGCTTTTTTTTCTTGCCTTTTATTTATTTATACACGAATTATTATTTCTAACTTTTTAATTTGTCTTTATACTTACTTCTTATTTATTATTCCTCTTTTTTTCTTCCTTTTATTGTATACTAGTTTTAAAACAATTAGTATAAGATTTTCTATTAAGATGCACTGAATTCGACTGTAATTTTCTTTAGTTGAATTCCATGTATAAATAGGAAAATAAATAAATAAATAAATATATATTCCAGGGAGATAAAATGCAGGATGAGAATTTTCTGACGAAGTTAAATGGAAAAGATAAAAAAAAAAAGTTACCTAAAAATTTTAAATCAAGATTAAGAATAAGAAAACAATCGAAAAAAATAAAGCTCATATAGCACCCAGTTTAATTGAAAACGATAATTTTGGTCTTAAATTATTCTTGCCCAGAATGACTTTTTGTTTCTCTTTGATACGTTTCTCCTGTTGCTTGCACATACGTTGAGCTTTCTTATCCATAAGATTAATTATAAGAAGGGATCGTGTTTCATGTGTGGAGTGGTGACTACGATTGCCTGCGAATGGGGTACAATAATTTGGAGTTAACAAATTTAATAAACTTCGAGGAGGTGTCTTGTGGACAACAACAAGCAGGCAAACTTCCTGAAAGCGAGCACCTACCTCACGACGGCGTTCGTCTTCTCGTATCTGTTCTCGTCTCGGTAGGTAATAAACACCAGAGGAATATTAGACTAATAACTTACTTTTAACTTGTGCTTCTTCCGATTTGCGGATAGATAATGCCTTCTCATTTATTTCTCCTTCGAAACCTGCCAAATCATTTTCTAAACGACTTATTTGTTTATCGAACAACCCATAAGTTTGTATAGCTAATAGCACTTTATCATTACTACATTCATTGGCACTACCAAATAATTGTTGTATATCAGAGGGACGTTTTTTGCGCTCTTCCTCGGTCATGGTACATGAAGTGTCTGCCAATTTGTGCATCAACTCTTTAGCCCGACTATCACTGCCTTCATTGGCGGCAATCACCGGTCACGTTATCGATTCTGATAAACGATTTGGTAGAAATATTGAAATAGTAGAAAATGGGCCAAGTTAGTCAGAGCAGAAGCCCGTAGTGCACCGTAAACTTAACGCAACTTCATTTTTTTTAATAAAGCTTTGTGGGTTTTTACTTGTTACTAAGAAATTATAAACAAGCTCACCATCCTTCACCCTGCATGTTAAAAAAGAGACATTAAGCGTATTAGCACGGTTTACCACACCACCGTTGAGATACCGTGATAGGCGCGTTGGCAAATGTTTTAAATGGCTGGCTTCTCTTTAGGCTTTCACCATTACAAACTGAACTTAAACTCGCTGCTGGTGTGCTGATATCTGCAAAACAAAAGTGTTGTGGTTACTGAATTTTTTATATAAAGGTGAACAAAAACCAACAGAAGTATCGCATGCGAATACTTGTAATGGGCGGTAATGGGCGGCATTCAATTGGGGGCGGCAGTCAACGGCGAATACTTGTGTTTTTATCTAAAATTAGATAGAAATAAGGATAAAATAAAGGTAAACACAAATAGGATAAACACAAATTTACCATTGGAGGAGAGCGAATCATTCTCATGATGCGGAAGCGGTGACCGGAGAGAAGGACTTAATTTTTATTCGAATCTGAAATAGAATAATATTAAGCAATAAATATACCTATTATAATTACCTTAAGACGAGGAAGCAATCGTTTTCGATGAAATATATAGTCTGCTGCGGCGTAAGCCTTGTTTTTTAAACTAAAAATGGAATAAAAACAAACGAATATATGCTAGATATTGAAATATATCTTAATATATTTATCTTAGAATGGCGTTACGTTGATGTTCTGACGCATGCATAAAGAGCGCGTATCCAAATAAATTTACTTGGGGCTACTGCAGGATCCTCACACCCTGAAGAAGACAAGAAGCTTGCCTATGTTTCGTTCCACCATGTATTGCCGCATAGCGGCGTAGAAAACATCATAGGCTTCGTTGAATGCTTCTTCGACCTTTTGTGTTGGAAAGGCTGGCTTAAGTTGTTTGGAGGAGAGGGTCAAGCTATCTCTCCTGTCCCTCGCAACTTTTTGACCGTTCTCCTCTTTGCAGAAGGCTTCTTCCTCCAGTGTAAGCGCGCTTCGCATCCCAGCTGCTCACCGATGTATCGCGCTATTGCGCATCCTTCGATCCAGGAATTCAACATCGAAACCATATAAAACCTTATTAAACCGTCTTAAACAGTCTTAGGCAGTCTTAAACACTTCTAAGCACTTGGAAAAAAATAACGGAATTCAACATCAGAACCACACCCTCCACATAAAACCAAAGCCGAAAATTTAAACAATGAAATGTGAAAAAATCGATTGATAAACTAAGGCGACAGCACCTATTTGACCTCAGGAATTCTAGCCTGGCTTTTCATATATAGATTTCAATGCGTATGATTTATAACTTGAACAAAGTCGACCAACAATTATCTAATACTGATACTGATGTTGCCGCTTTGTTTAACTTATTGGCTCTCCCAATTCAATTTCGAAGAGATTTAAAAATTGTATGCGACAAAATATTTATATACTAAAGCAATATATACTACACGTATACCTATATACCTTTCTTATACTCTACACCTCTTGCGGTAACAGTATATTAAGTTTGTACAGATGTAAGTCGCACACAGAAGTCGGGATAGATACACCTTTTATTATACCAATCGGTTTATTCAGTTAATAGAAACTCATTTCAGAATCGGAGTGATTATTATTCAATCATGTTACATTTAACGGCCTATTTAAAACCTTTTTTATCTTTTCGCGAATCATTCAAGTCCTTTTTGTAAAGCATGACCCATGAAAAATACATCGAATCCACTATAACTTTCTTTAAAACGAGATGTTATTTTTATATACGTTAGCATTCATTGAAGAACCTTGTTGGTGTTTACCACTTGTGGTACCGGGTATATTAAATTTGTACGGACATATGTAACAATAAGAGAGGCTTAAGACAGACTGATCGTACCGATGTCTGTCCGTGTGTGTTCATGTATTTTTGTGTTCAAGTTACAATTTTTGAGATACTTCGATGAAATTTGGTACACTGGCGTGTTTTGACCCAAGGACGAATACTATTGAAAATGGTGTGGATCAGTTCACTTTTTTGGCCACCCCCCGTATAATGTCCTTTTTGAAAAGTCCATATAAGGAATAAAATTTTAATTTACAAAATTTCGCAACAAAGGTAGCTAAATACTAGACATTCGACATTTTAAATTGGTATGAAATTTGGTCAAATGGAAAACTGGCAACGTGGATATTTGCCAGCAGAAAAGTCTAAGTTTTAACATGTGGTGATGAAAATTACAGTAATTTCATACAAAAATGAAGTCTACAAAGTTTTGACCAACTGCATTTATTTTTGGATCCTACCCTATGTAAGTATTTTTCCGCAAATTTTTGTTTGTTAGGGAAAAAAAAAGTCTAAGCTTTAATATCTTATGGTGAAAATTTGTGCATTACAGTAATTTGATATAAAAATAACTAAACCAAATATGAAACACATATTTGACCTCCCCACATAAGATTTCTGATGAATAGTATGCCTTTTAGAAAAAAATTTAATTTTTAATACTTTATGATGAAAATTTGCCCATAGTAGCAAAACAACCAAAAAATTTAACAGTAGGGAATTTCGATCACGTCTATTTTTTCGGCACTAACATATATAAAGATTATCACGAAAAGCAAGCCTTTATGTTTACTTTTCCACGACGGAAACTAAAAGTTAAAATAATTGGGAAGTAAATTAAGTTTGCTAAATTTAGATCGCGTCATGTAATATTTTGGGCACACTCTAATATGCGGTTCTTCATGAAAACTTTGCTTTGCAAGAAAATAATTATTACCAGAACGAGTAAATATGTGTGTTAGGCGCACCTAACACCCAAATGGACTTTGGATAGACCCACATTTTTCTGAATCGATCGGTGGGATTTAATCAAGTTCTTCTGGGAGTTACATAAGTCCACACAAAGGTTAATATACTCTTGCACCATAAGTGGTGTGGGTTATAAATATTATTGGGAGCAGAGCATGCTTCATAAGCACAAGCGTATTAAAATATAACCTTAATGTGAGGTGAACTGCGCTGCTGATGCAATACAAATATTTAAGTTATCATTGTAAAGCTTTTTTTTGATCTTTATATCCCATAATAAATTAATTCCAATAGGTACCCAATTACCAATCCGTATTCACAGTTTCTGTTTTCGCGGCACATATACCCCGCGAATGAAGAATTTTTACTGTATATCCATAAAAATGGGAAAATTCGCGACACCTACTCAGTTATACAGTGTGTCATAGTTTAATTTTTTTTTCAAAATCTTTATAACGCACGTAGGTGTGGCCAAAACCCCATAAAGTGCACAAATTGTAGGTCATTTTCAAATTTGAAATGCAGTTAAATACGTTCGCATGTTCATTTGTCCATTTGAGCAATATCTTAGTGTGAATATTCTCCTATTTGCGAAAATAAACTTGTAAAAAACTGACAAATGAAGTAAGACAACAATTTTTTTTTATAAATTTATATCTTTAAAATTAAATTTTATTCACTTATTGATAAGTTTACATTTGGTAACGGCTTGGAGGTTTTCACTTATGCACGACCCGGCATTTTACCACTTTTCCGTGGCCTCTTTTGTTGCTGTATCATCTTCTTTAGGTGTTTCGTATATTCGCTCGTAACAGCATTAACCACAGCGTCAGAACCTTCACCAGTGGTCTGAAGAGGATATGAAAGTTTTAAATGCATGTTTAAGCTCCAAAAATTTTCACTCAATAAAATAAAACTATAAACCAAAACTTCTTACTTTTATAATATCCGGTAAAGAATGGAGAAAATCTTCAAGCATGCTGAAGAAATGGTATGTCTTCTCCTTCCGTTTCTTTATAATCTCGTCTTAATTGGTTAATCGTCATGGTTTCCGGGTAGGAAGACACAAGCGATTTTAAAATCATTTGGATTTTTTTTAATTTAATTTCTAAATGCACAGTCGTTTGATGCAGTTCTGTTGATTCCTCAGAATCCACAGTAAATTGATTGGCCTCCTGTTGTTCGATATCATTCGTCGCCACAGGTGATTGCGGCTTTTTCTTTTCCGCAGGTGTTGGCGGCGGCGGAGGTGGCGTTGTCATCCTAACATTTTTATCTTTAGTTAAGTTCATGCCGAAAGGCAATCTAGAACTATCTTCGAACGTCTCAGCTTTCGGGCTTATCTAATTTCTGCATATCATCACCATCGTATTTGGACATCGCGCCTACACCATTTCTTTGCTTGACAAAATGCGAGCTGCTGTTTCTGTTTTAGTAGTCCTATTAGTTTTTTCCAAAAACGACATTTTAAATAATTTCACTTGAATATGACTTTTTTCATCAAAAGTATTTTTTCTCTTGTTTCTTAGAAAATAACATTTTTTGTGCAGTCTTTTCGAGCAGCTCAAAATTTACAAATGGAGATCGCGAAAATGAATAATAACAATGAAAATTGCCGTTAAGTAACGCTTTTTGTTTTTGTTCCTTTTCATTAGTGTTGTTAAGCTACAAATGCGTTATAGCGTTTTTTGTATTAAATTTTTACGATCTTAGAAGTAGCAACGCATTTGCAATAGAACAACTTAGCTTTTTTATATTGAGAAACGGCATTTGTAGATTACGGGCAAGTTCGGAAGAATGAAAAATGATGAAGGATTTGCTGAGATTTGATAAATGCTTAGGCTTAAAATGGACAAAACACAACTGAGGAAGTGTTTTGTATATGCTAGATAAGCATAAAACAGTAGCAACCATTTTAGGCATGGGTAGAGCTATGGTGGAGAAAAAGAATTGTCAATATATATCGGAGGCAGGCGTTACATTAAGCAATAAAAA